GCAGGAAAGAGTAGAGGGAACGGGGACTTAGTGTTCGGTGAGAACAGAGCTTCAGTTAGGGAGGTTCTGGAGATGGATGGTGGCTATGGTTCCACAACCATATGAGTGTACTTAATGGCGCTGTATTGCACACCCATAATGGTTCAAGTGGGCAAGGTTTCTGTTGGTACGTTTTATCGCCACACACAAATAAACACCGGTTTATTGTCTCGCAGTTCTGGAGGTCAGATGTCTCAGCTGGTTCTCTGCTTACAGTCTCATAAGGCTGAAATCAAGGAGCTGGCTGGGCTGGACTCTTACCTAGAGGTCCTGAGGAACCGCTTGTAGACGCATTTGGGTTGTTTGCAGGTTCATTTCCTTGTGATTCTAGAATCTCTCTTTTAAAAAAAAGAATTTTTTTTTTTGTTTGTTTGTTTACTGGCTGGCTGTTGTGTTCTGGTCTCACCTTCTAGATGGTGCTCCTTGTCATGGGACCCCTCCATCTTCAAGTCAGCAACATATATTGAATTCTAGTGCTTTGAATTTCTGTGAATTCCCATGCCTTGCATTGAAAAGGCCTCATGTGATTAGATTAGGTTAGACCCACCAGATAATCTCCATTTTGCCATTTAAGGTACCATGATCACTCCAGTGATAGATAGTTTCCATCCACACCCAAAGGAAAGGAGATTATATCAGGGTAAGGGTCATTGAGTCATTCTTAGAATTCTGACAGAAGAACCAGATAGTCCTGTGTTTGAATCCCATTTTAATACTTTGCTTTGTTGACTGAGAAGGAAGCTATTTATAAGCTCTTTGAGCTTGAGTTTTCTCTTAAAAATATTTCCTTCTCAGACCCTTGAAATGCTAATAACGTCAGTGATCTTTTCTAAAGTGATGAGGGGCAAAAATGATACCGTATGCCGTGTAAAAATAAAGCCACGAATCTGTCGGACTGCTGTCTTGAGCTTCACTCAGCTCTAGCTGTACTAATTAACGACCTCTGTTTACAATAAAAAATCTGTAAATCGTTAAAAAAAAATGTCCTTCTCTTTATTCATGATAAAGCGTCCATGTGCAGGCATCCAAGAGAGAGGAGCACCCTTTACAGGATCTGGTCATGCCGTGATCCCCTGCCTCCAGTCTTTCAGCCTGTCAGACCTTGGGTATTTGAATGTGTGCCTGGCTGACTGGGCCATGGTTAAAGCATTGCCACCATGTGGGATCTGGCTTTCCTTAAGCCACATGTTATTGCTGTGCCATAGAACCGGCCCCAGTTTTCTCTTCCTTAACACAGGGA